GAAAATGAAACAAGATATTCTCATTATTATTAAATCAACATTTAATTATTGATTTATAGGGTATAAAAAAAAGAAAACATTCTTTATTTAAACAGTATTAATCAATTAATTAATTAAATTTCAATCTTGATAAAGTTAAAAGTAATTTTCAATTTTTTTTTTCTTTTTCTTTCTTCTTTTTTTTTTTTTTGCAAATTGCTCCTATACATTTGTATTCGATCTATTTATATTATTTTAAGTATCAAGCGTATAAGACAGATGTTAGATTTATATCAAGATTTATTATTTATTCGATTTATTTTATTTTTAAAATGTTTACGTTGTAATACAACATATAAAATGGTTATTCTTAATAATATATGTCTAAGTAGCGGATAAATTTGAAAAAGCAAAAAGAAAGGATTCATTTCATTTGTCAATTTTTTAAGATAGTCAAAACTAACGTTACCCATCGCCGAACACAAATACCAGTAACACAATTAACTCCATTTCCCACCTTTTCATTATTCAGTATATATGTATATATATATATATATATATATATATATATATATATTCTAGTATGAATTCCTTCGTACATTCGTTCGCTTGCTCGTTCGTTCGTTCGAGAGAAAAAGAGAAAGAGAGAGAGAGAGAGAAAGAGAGAGAGAGAAAGAGAGAGAGAGGGGGGGGTAGAGAGCAAAGTGTTCGTAATGAGCTCTTTTCCCTTCCTCTGCCAATTAGCGCACACATTTCCCTTTTTAATAATGCAACGGCCTACATAGATGCACGGTATATTACGTGCAGCCTATAATTACGTGCAATCATGACTTTTGTAAAGTGTTCTTATTATTTTATTCGTATGTACTATGTGAATTTAAGATGATAACGATTTCTAATAAGATCAAATCATCGTCATCTTCTTTCTCAAAATTTTTCCACTGTTCGTTTCTTTGTCAATTTTTTAAATGCATATATTTATAAAAGTATTAATTAATATCTTTTAATATAATTCGATATGCATATGTGCAATAATTCAATTTTTTAATAACTCTCTCGTACAAAAAATTATAATAGCGTAATTTCTTTAATCATTTCTTTTATTTTTTTTTCTTTCTTTTTTTTTTTTACATATTTACTTATACGTATAATAAATGACATAATATTTTGTTCATAAAAATTTCGAAAAAGAAAATGAAACATCATCTATTAAGATATTTATTCTTTATGAAATTTATTTACAATACATGAATCATCGACCAGAGACAATGAAAATTCGAATAATCGTCGTACTATTAAAAATACGTAGTGATTATTATCAGTCGTCTTTAATGGACCATCAAAGTTGGAGAATTCATGCTGTATGTTCGTGAACTAGACAAATCGAAAAAGGCGAGTAAAAGGAAAAAAAAAAAAAAAAAAAAAAAAGAAAAAAAGAAAAAACAATCGGAAATCGTCGAGGTATCAGACCAGTGGTCTGAACTTTTGCTCTCTCGTTTTTCAGAACAGTGCGATAACTCATCGGAGTGACTTCGACTACCATTTCTCACTTCTGATTTACTTTACCAAGAGACTTTACTTTCGTTAACTTCCGGAAACGATTTCTACGGGAAAACGACCATCTGACGCTCTTTTTGTGTCGTCCTTCTAATCTCGTCACGCTTTTGATGCATCTCATTTTAAATTTAAGACGATCTATTCTTCTTTTACAGTATACCTATTACCATTTTATACGAAACGTTGATTAAATCTCCGTTTTAGTATTGGAAGGAAGAAAGTATCCAATCACGTTAATCGATTTCACTTTTAAGATAAATGAAACTACATATATATAGGTACATACGATTGCGTAAGAGAAATTTATTTTTAACTTTGTCCTTGGAAATAATTGAACGTCAAGAGATATAGGGCCATTGTCTATAATACTCTTGAGGCCCCCTTCTAATATAGCCTCGTGATATTTCCATGGTTCAGAAAATGCTGAGGCATCATGCTCCATTACATCCATCTTCAGAAGCATATTTTTTATATCGCATATCATGTCATTTACAGAACGTCTCTCAAATGGACTCGTTTACCTTCATCTTCCCACGAAGGCACCCCTCGAATTGCGTATAACTCACAAAAATTCACTTGAGAAGAACCAATTCATACTTGTCGTCGTTCATTCATTTGGTATCTTTATATTTTATTTTCTATTTTTCCCTCGAGGATATAACATTTATCTTTGTTTTCTTTTTATTTATTTATTTTTTTTTTCAATTAATAATATTTACAAGTTTTATTCAAATATTATAACGTCTAATTACAATGTTTCAGACAATTATCAGAGAGTACTATCAATTAATTACATATTAGTTTATATGTCGAATAAAGGGATGTCATAAAAAACTAAATATGATTCAAAATATGAACACAAGCGATGAAACAACTATTATTGACGACTCTAAAATGACTTCGTTAGTGGCACAATACTTAATGACGAACAACTTTCATTGATTGTCTGGAAATAATTAATTAGCGTCTAATATTATGTTTCCCGTTTATTAAAATTTAAAGCCTATATATTGTTATCGAATTATTTTATATAAATTCTATCAGTTAGCAGTATGACACAACAATTGTAATATAAATTACATTAAAATATTATATGTAAATTGGATATAGTTTCGCAAACACGAAACATCCCTGATATCGGTCGATTTTATTGATCCATTGATTCAGCGCAATGGACGAACTCGATAGATCTCATTTATCGAATTTTGCCTTGCAGTAATTAAATTTTGTCGCGAATTTTTGAACAATGCGGCATATAAAAATAGTTTATATTTTCTTTTTTTTTTTTTTTAGTTTTAAGATATAAATGTCGACATACAGTTTGATAAGTCTAATTATTTGTTTGTTTTTTTTTCTTTTTTTGTTAAGAATAATAATGTGATTTCTCCTTTGTCGAATAAATGCATTGTTGATTATTATGACGTAGATTGTCATTAAAGAGAAATTGAATATCATACATTTTTATATATATTGAATAAACACGAATAGTTCAATTAGAATAGATCATACTGTGAATTTCTCATTTATGACATTACAAAGGGTTTGATATTTTAATTTTCCATTGTTTTATTTTATGTTAATGATTAATTGAATATATACTTGGAAATAATTCGAAGTATTTAAAGGTAATATATTCTTTCTTACTTTTTGTCATTATTCATTTGATGAATATGAATGATTCAATACGTTATTTAAAAATTTTAGCATATAACGTGAGGCAATATAGTTCAACGTCATACTCACCTTACGAAATGGTACTGCGTTGCCCCTCAACTTTGACTTTCGACGTCGTTTAATCGAATCGTTAAAGCGTCCAGCTCGTTGTTTAATTTAAACGCGCTTATTTTTACGATTTCATGGGTTTTCCCTCTCTCTCTCTCTCTCTTTCTCTATTTCTCTTTTCCTTTTAGTACGCATAAATTTTTTTTTTGTTTTACTTACACAGGCGAAAAACTCGAGTACGATAAATCCGGAAGGAAAATACCAGATACAGTTTTTCGTTCAAGCATATATTTCAGAATCGTTTAAAATCTTTATTTATTTTTTACACGACAATATTTTCTATCTTTTTTATTGATATTCTTATTTTTTGACATGGATTTGTTATCTATCCGTTCAAAAATTATACATTTTCTCGTTTGAAGATATTGAATTTTATCAATAATTAAATCTCTCTTTCTGGTTGTTATTACATGTCATCAAAAACAATGTCAAACAAAAATTGTTTAATAATTGAAAAGAAAAAGTTACAAGTATACGAATAATCTTATTATTCATTGGAAATAAAATGCGATTCCTTTCAGACTTACAATTGGAAATGAAACATTAAATTAATATTTAACATGAATAATTCTGATTTTAACTTGCAATTATTATACATATATATATATATATATATATATATATATATATATATATATATTATCCATTGGAGTGCCACGGGGTCTTTAAAAAAATCTTGTCGAAAAGTGACAAGCGACGCGATAGCGCTTGTTTCAATTCATGTCGAAAAATGTCAAAACGGCGCGATAAAGGTTATTTCAATACATGTCGACAGAGCGCACCATCAATTGCGCAACACGGCCTTATACTCTGGCACTTTCCGAAATGAAATGTGAACAGTACTATCGCGCTATATGACATCCAAATGGTTAAATTAAACATCGATAAAAATACATAAGTCGTATATATGCGCTTACATGATCGATCAGAATTGAAAATAAATATTCTAATGTGCTTAGTATTGATATTAGTCAAACAATAATATATATTTTTGACATTTGCCTTTCAATTATTTAATTATTACTTATCTTTGAATCTTGACCATTCTTTGTCTTTAAAACTTCGTGAAACATACATAAAAAAAAGTACATTTTGAATTGATCGCAAATTAATTACGACATATTGTATTATATATATATTGCACCATTTATTCTTAGACAAAATAAATACACACATATGTATATAAATATATATATATATATATATATATATATATAGCATTTGAGTTCTATCTTATCTATAGTATTTGAATTCTATCTTACTAAGGTTAGTTAATATTATGCAGTTTGTATTATTATTACAATAATCCGTTTTACGAAGAAGGAGATGGAAATTATCGCGAGAGGAACATCACATAACATAACACGGTCGTTTCGAGATTATTCTCTTTACATCGAGGTTATTCTCTTTACATAGCACCTGAGGGGAAGCAGTGTAATAGTATACGAACTATTTCTTGTTTATCAGAGATACTATATTATACTTGATGCTATTAAGAAACATTATGGTCACTGCAACTTTATACATATATATATATATATATATATATATATATATATATATATATCTATATCCGAACACAACGTGATATGAAATGATTATAATCGTTTCTTATTAATCATTTTTATTCAATGTGTTCGTCGTTAATGTCAAATTTTAATGATTTTTTTTTGTCTTTACAGGTACGGTGACATGGTTCCGAAAACGATCGCGGGAAAAATCGTCGGGGGTGTATGCTCCTTGAGCGGTGTCCTAGTGATCGCTTTACCGGTACCTGTTATCGTCAGTAATTTCAGCAGAATATATCATCAAAATCAACGTGCCGATAAAAGGAAGGCACAGAGGGTGAGTAGAATTTTTTAAATACTCTCTTTAATGTTTTATCACGATTAGACAATATTGTAAGATCAGATTGTGATATAATATACGAACCAAGTATTAACAATATTAACAGTATCGTTCTTAAGCATCAATAACAGATATTTATTACAGAAAAAATGCAATATTTATTTTTTTTTTTTTTTTCTCAAATTTAAAACATATAATATAAAAATTGCAATGACAAATATTATTCATCCTTGTCATATTTATAACATTGTTAAAGAATTAAATTAAAAGTTAAAAGTTAAAAGCCAGAAAGGATAAATGTTGTTTTAAAACAAACTCGCATTTGATAACTCGTTAAGACTATAATTCAATCATATAATCTAATCTCGAGATGGAAATTGCTCGGACATTCTTCTACGTTTCATTGTTCGCTACATGTTTAAATTCTATAAGATTATGTTTGTCAGCTTGTAAATGCGTGTACATGATCGTGCAGAACGTCCACTTGTCTCGGAGTTCAAGTACGTGAACCTTTGAACATATGTATGTAGGTTAATTCCGTCGAGTCTTTCCTAGGAACTGACAAGTACATGTGAAATAAGAGTCTGGGGAAAACAACGAGAGAAAAATATTCTATTATATTATCTAAGAGTTTATGCGAATTAGAATATAATGAATGCAATTCCTTTTAAATTTGTATTTTGATTTTGTATTGAGTATAAGAAAGATTTATCTGATCTTTCATTCTATATTTAAAAGGGAGTTTCTTAATGGGTTTTTTTTTACAATTATTTTGTAAAAATCTTACAAAAATCGACTTTTGGATTTTTACATTTTCTTGAAGTATGTCGTCTTAAATGTAGGATAAAACATTAAGAACGTTTATCGAAGATGATATGAAAATAATAAATGAAGATTGTATTCGTCATTCGCTCTTTTGTATCTTTCGCAATAGTATCGTTTTTTCCATTTATATACGTACGTACATAAATATTACAGCATTTATTTAAAAAAAAAAAAAAAAAAAAATTTTATATATCTCTCTCTTTTATATATCGCTCTCTTTCTTCTTTCAATAATTTATCTATATTGATATATGTTGCTATCATCGTGTATCGTCGAATATTAGATTGAAAAATATAAGCTGGTTTATTCAAAGTCATTTCCCTTGAAGGGATCTCTAACTTTCGAATAAATTTTTATTGTTGAGATATAGTATTATATTAGTTTCGATCACGATTGTATATTCTCTTTCATAGCTTTTTGGCAATTATGAAGCTCTTCATTTTATGGGAAGTAAGTGCTTCGTGATATGTAGTTTTCAATTTCGATCATTCGCAGCTAGTTTGATATTTTCATTCTCCTTACTTTTTTACGTTCTTTTTAAAATTGCCTTTGATCGTCGATGGATTCGATGAAAGTTTCATTTTGACTCTCTCTCTCTCTCTCTCTCTTTCTCTCTCTCTTTCTCTCTAGCTTCGTCGTTCGATCAGGCGTGCTAATGTTTTCAAAGCTCCTACGATACTCCCACGATTTATTTCTTATACATTTACTTGAAAAAGCATAACTTTCCGAAAAGCTAAGAAAGCTTTCGTTTTGTAACAGTTTATAATTAGGTATATTTTCGCCCAAAGGAACACCGTCGTTGTTATAAAATAGCGGACAATAATGCCTGCATCGAAAGAAAACTTTTATTAAAAGAAAACAACACGCTCGTAAAACGCTTTGAAACTTTTGAGACTTGACTTTGAAATAAGCTTTTACTTGTACATATATATAGGGATACTTAAACATGTTTGCAATTCTTCGATAATTATTAACATAAAATATCGACGATCGAACGATCGACTTGAAAAGTAATAAAGATTGAATTCGAGAAGAGAAATAGAACTTTCGCGAGTCTTCGTTTCAAGATTGTGCTTGAGAACTTAGAGAGTTATATTTAACATTTGCCTCGTTCGCTCGTTATCGTGCATTGTCGTGATCGCCTCTGAGTAATGCAATATCACCAACTCTAATGAATAGTACGAGGTTGCAATTTCGAACAGGCCACAAAGACTTCTCAGATTACAGGCGAGGTTTATCAATGAAACTCATGCTTCTCCGTAGCTTAAATCGGATCTTTTGAACGTTGTATGGTATTAAAAGCTTCGATCTGCTGCCAGATCGAGTTTTATCTTTTACGTTCATAATCGGCCTAATCCACTGTTCGATGATTCTCTAACTTTTTCATTTCAAGAGTTATTTATATTCATTAAAATCAAAATGAGAAATATCAGAGTAATACTTATTTATCGTATTAGAAACTGACATTGAAAGAAACGTTTTAAATATTAGATTATAAGATTAAATTTCAAAAATTACAATTTTTCATGCGAATGGTGATCGTCCATTGATCGAAGGAAAGATTAAATACATTTAACTCTACATATAAGCAATGTATTATTTGACATCGTTTATCAAACTTCAATAGAGTCTTCATAATATTAAGTTAACGATTGGCTTAAAGTTAACTCTTAAGATACGTACGAAGACAAATCATTTGATTCTTGCAAGTCCTTCCTTCTTAATTCATCTCTTCTTTCTCCTTTTCCTTTCCCCTTTCAGTTTTCTCTTGGATCATGGTATCACGCGTTCACATGAATCCAACGACTGATCTTAGCGAAGATCACGCAGTTTGAGCTCCTCGGAGGAGTTTGCCTTGGCTCGATTCCAACGGCTACTCTCAGTTCATTACCACTATTTCATAGGAGACGAGAGGTTGAAGCAGCTGGACGGGATTCGGATAGGGATCTTTGGAAGGAAAGTGAGCCACACGGAGTAACGATAATCAGAAGTTCAGAGAATTTCATAAGAAACTAACAGGAGTTGGAAGAAAAACGCAAGCTTTTCCTTTTATCCACCTCATTTCTGCTTGATCTTCTTTTATCTATCCTTTCGTATTTCGCGTCAAGAGATTTCTCTCCCTCTTTCTATCTCTATATCCGTCTTGCTTTCTTTTCTTTCATTCTTACTCGTCTCTTTCTCATCTTTCTACCTCTTTTACACTCGGTGGATGTTTTCATGAGAAAGAAAGAGAGATAGATAGATAGATAGATAGATAGATAGATAGATAGATAGATAGATAGATAGATAGATAAGGTTTCTCTCAGAAACAAGGCTCGAGCTTTAAGTAATTTCTCTTGGCCAAGATCCAAGGGCCTGTTTTTATTTCGATGTTTTCTACAATTACGTACGCGAATTTTGGATGAAAAATGAACGATCTCATAGCAAGAAGGTTGGAGTAAGTGGAAAGGGCAATTAATATTCCTACAATTTAAATGAGGTCAAAAGTGAAAACTTGTATGTTTTTTCTTTCCATCCTTTTCTTTTTTTCTTTTAGCCCAGTTCCATTGAATTTTTTCAAGCATTATACCGTACCGTTCAAATTTCATACGGAAATATTCTTCTACATCCCTTCGACGTTGAGATATCTATGGTCCAATTGTGGTGATTATAGTACTTGAATCGAATTAAATTTTGAAAGAATCTTAATCTATTCTTCAATGAATTTGAAATTATTTTAATTTATTATTAAGCGTTTCGTTCGTCTTTCACAGAAAGAAGACGTTCTAAGAACTTGGTGAATACACATTTTACTTTTCCTTTTTTATTAGACGCGTGAAACGAACGAGAAAGCTTATTTCGCCGTTGCGTCTCGGGCAATGCAGCAGTATTCTAAAACCTACCTATCGAATCGTGAATTTTCTTTATTTCTTTCTTTAGTTCTTTTCAACAGTAAAATCTGCAATGCAGATATGGTTATCTACATATGCATGGACACGTTTGTCTCGATTTGTGGTTTCGCGAGCTCGACGGATTCTCTTTCGTCTCTCTGATTTCTGTTCTCACTGTAACTCCCTGTCTCTTCCCTTTTACGTTCCTTTTTTATTTTCCTCCCTTTTGCTCTAACCAAATTACCAGAAGAAAAGACATAACGAATTTTGAATTTATCGTCAAATCAGAGTATTAAGAATAATTCTAGCGTAATAATAATCATTAGCGTAAACTCGTTGATAATGCTTCCGAAGGATAATATCGTGATATATTGTCTCGTAAAATATTTAATAGTTAAAAAAAAATTTACTTTCGAATAAAATTAAAAGACGGAGAGATATTGTGAAGACAATTTTTGAAAATTTTTACGAGAGGAATTTTCGTAAATTTCAAAAATTTCATTGTTGATCTTGTTAAATATGATCCCGATATCAATAATTAAGATATTCGTGAGAGATCATTTTAATTTTGAAGAAATAGAAATACTACGCGATAAAACGTGATGACTACATATGGTTGGTTAACCAAAAGAAAATAATAAATTTTAATTGGAAGTAGCTGACATTGAATAATAAATGAAGTGGAAAATGTAAGAAGATATTTTTTGTTTTCCGCTAACCAATCGATAGGAGGGTTATGTGGTATAATAGTGTGGTGTTTGAAGGGTTAAGACAAAGATACAGACACACATATACAATAGTAACGTTTTTGGATTTGAGAAGTTCTCACAGAAAGTCGGAAAGACTGGGTTACCACGGCAAAAACTTTATGGCGAAAACGTTTACTTATATAAGCTCACCTCAAATATTTGTTTACCCTTAGAGCCGAGTTAGCTTGCGTAGTACCTGTAAAATCGATTCGAAAGGTCAAACCGATGGAACGGATAAACGTGGGTATCGCGGATGAGAGAAAAAAAGAAAATAGAGGAATATATTCGTCGATGTCTTAATTCTATAGGGCAATACCAGAGTTACCACGCTAACGAAGGAAATTATTTTTTAATTAATTTCGCTACCGCGAATTCAACGATTTTACTGTATGCAACGTGTTAGTAACAAGGTCGAGTTGTTCTCGAGCAGTTCACGCGTTCGAACAATTATGCGAATACTGATATTTCTAAAATAATTATCTTAAAATCTAACTGTTTGATCATCAATAATATTTATATAGATGTTCCTTCAAAAAACAAAACAAAACAATAA